TTTTAGTCTTTTTAAAAAATTTATTCATTGTTGCACATTCGCTTCCTTCCCTCCCCCTTCCTTAACTCCCTCACAATGCACCCCTTGTTCCAGATTGTTCTCATACATATAGTGCATAATCATATATTCCTTCCAAACAGTTCTTCCCCTCATCTGTTCCAATGCAATGTTCCTTAACTATCTACCCTTCCACATTTCCTCTCCTACTCCTCTCGTTTGTCCTACTTTAGAACAGTGGTGCTATGCAATACTTACCCTTCGGTGACTGAGATATTTCACTAAGCATAAGGTCCTCCAGGCTCCCTATGTTGTGTAAGGTTTTACTGTTTCATGTTTCATTGTTTTTCAATGCTGTATACAGTTTTGTGGGCAAAACAAAACTTAATTTTTAAAACTAAGATAGCTGAGTACTCTTACTTCCAATGTTTGAAACTATTGGTTGATAGTCATGTATAATAACCTTGCTTTGTAGTTAAAAATTATTTTCCCATATGGAGTGCTAATAGCACCCTATGCGTGACTTACCTGATGGCAGTGAGGTTGAGGTTTTGGGTTTGGACTTTAAAATGTGTTTTATAGTGAGAGAACCACAAATACTGAAATTAGTTTAAGGTCAGTTTTGCTGATATGGTGAGTTGCCCTCAAGTCTATTCCAGCTCACAGTGACTATGTGTGTGTGTGTGCAATGTAGAACTGCTCCTCGGGATTTTCAAGGCTGTAATGTTTCAGAAGCAGATTTCTAGGCCAATTTTCAGTGGTGCCTCTGGATAAGTTAGAACTGACAACATTTAGCCAAGCAGTTACTTAAGATCTGTTCATGACATTATCTCACATAATTTCATGTCATAGACATTAACTTGTAAAACTTGCTGCTTGTTCACAAGAACTTGTCTTCTAATCTAGAGAAATTATGAGGAATAGAAACTAAGTTAGATAAGCATATGAGAGGCTATTAAAAATAAATTATTGTCTATCTTACTCAGATTGAATTAATTATTTGGGATTTTAAAAAAAGATTATGGCTAACCTGTCAATTGTTGTTGTTGGGTGTCGTTGAGTCATAGACAACTCATAGTGACCCTATGAACCAAAGACCTGAACATTTGTATAACTTTGACCATTTCGCCAAGTTCATAGAGTTTATGGTTACTGTTGTTGTTATGTGCTGTCGAGTCACTTGTGACTCATAATGACCCTATGTACAACAGCCCTAAACTCTGCTCTGTCCATTTGCCAATCACACTACATACCTATCCTAATTACCCCAGTCACTGAATCAGTCCACCTCATAGAGGGCCTTTCTCTCCTGTGCTGTCCCTCCACCCTCCCAAGCATGATGTCCCTCTCCAAGGACCAGGAGGCAAGTTATTTCAGAAGTGGATGCCTTTCCTGCTTCCAAGCTTGTTTTAACCAGGGAGCTCCACCAAACACTGGGTAACCATTATTACATTTGACACTTCAGTGTCACAGTGTTTAGCATCACAGCAACCACAAGTTACCTCTGTACAGCCAATGGACAGACCAGTGCTATACCACTTAGAAGAATGTTTGACCAAAAATAATTAAAACCATGCTTGAGGGCCACAGCTCTTAGAATTCAGCTGCTCCAGATGATTTCCCAACCTGGATTCCAGCCCCATATTGGTGACTAAAATAATTTTTAAATAGGAGGCCAAATAAAATCAACTCACACCCAATGGTGAGTAAACATTCCACCCTAATCCTCACCAGAACCAGAAAACAAACCTCTGTATACAGAATCCAGCTACTCCAGATGACTTCTCAACCTGTATTCCAACAACTAGATAAAATGAATTTGAACTAATAGTTCAGTTATTTATTATTAAAAAGATTCTTGAAAATAGATGGCCTAGAAAAAACATGGGTGAGTCTTGCTACTGCCAGCTTGCTGCCGAGCCTCTGCTGCCACAGCCCCATGGGGTGCTACAGCCAGAGCCCATAGGTCCCCTTACCTGGGGAGGGTGGTGCGTATCAGTCCCCACAGCCAGTAAGACAGAGCCCTGCATGGCCACAGAATAAACTTATTCTAAAAGAAATTCTCCAAATCAAGATGGTGGCAGTGGGGAAAGCAGTGTGAAGAGCGGGAGGCATGGCAAGCCACATTGAAATGGATTACAATGGCCCTCCACAGGCTGCAGTTTATCTATACTTGAACAGTTAAACAGTTGGCTATACTGGTCTTCAAAATGGATTGAGGCTCAACATCAAGGGGACAAAGATTTTTGAAAACACATGCTCAGTCACACTTCTGCCAGCTGCCCACAGCCAAGGGGTCCCCTTGCCTAGACCAGGCAGCAGGTGCTGGGCACTGCAGTTGGTACAACAGAGCTCCTGCATGGCCAGTGGCAACAGATGCCAGGGGCCAGGGGACCCCAGCATGGGAGGGGATGGCAGGGGTTGGGGGGCAGTGGCAGTGGCACCATGGAGCAGTGGGAGGTAAAGAACTAGATATGGGAGAGCAACTCACTGCCTGTGAAGATTTCCTTGGATAGGTCAGAGAAGAAAAGAAAATCCTCAACATGATGGATTGATATGGTGACTGTAGCAATGGGCTTGAGTGTGTCTCATATTGTGAGGATGGTGTAAGATAGGGCAAGAATTAGATCTGTTGTTCATAGAATTGCTGAGTCATAGATAGAGCTCCATTGGCCTAGTGGATAGAAAGTTATGCTACCAAGACAAAGGCAGGTGATTTTAATCTATGGCCCTCAGGTGTGGTTTTAATTCTTTTTGGTCCAACATTTTTCTAAGTGGTATAACACTGGACTGTCCATTTGCTGTATAGCAGTAACTTGTGGTTGCTGTGATGCTAAACACTGTGACACTGAAGTGTCAAATGTGATAATGGCTACCCATCGTGGACAGTGTTTGGTGGAGCTCCCCAGTTAAAACAAGGAAGCAGGAATGGCATCCACTTCTGAAATAGCTTGCCTCCAGAAATTCTATGAACTTAGAGAAATGATGAAAGTCATACAAGTGATCAGGTCTTTTTTGCATAGGGTTGCTATGAGTTGTCTATGACTCTGTAGCACTTAACAACAACAGATCTTGGACAGCAGATCTCCTCAATGCACCACATCTTTTGATTTCTTGACTTCTGTTGTCAAGAACTGTTTGGACCTAGAGTGGGTCTGTTCACCACTCTCAAAGCCCCTTCTCCATTTGTAGAGGGGGAGGGTAGTGACATCTACTTCGAGTTGCAGTTGGACCACCTGGTGGAGGGGAAGGGGGTGATGGTGGCAGCACTGGAGCCAGGGGTTCCTTCCCTGGCCCTCATCTTCAGTGGGGCACAGAGCCTTTGGTAGAGGGAGTGCTACCTGGCCCTGAGGACAGCCATCTAACCCCTGGGGAGTGCTGCCCGGCTGCTGTGGAGACCACCTGGCCCCCGGGAAGAGCTGTCTTGCTCCTGGGGTGTGCCACCTGGACTTTGGGGAGAGCTGTCAGGTTGCTGGGGAGAGTCACCTAGTGTATAGAGGAATTTTATCTAAGCCACTTTCCTCCACCTCCTTCTCCAGAACATCTGTAAGTAACACCTCCAAAGCTCTTCTCTTTGTAACTCACAAGTTTGTTCTCTCTAGGTTTGCTCCCTTTCCTATAGGTAACCTGAACACTGAGTCTTGCTGCAGACCTGTACCCTGAGCCCAGTTCCAGAGACAAAAGAGAAATATAACTGCCATCCAAGAAAGTGAAGAAGGATGGAGCCTCAAGGTTCAGCCAGCCACCCCCACTGGACTCATCTTGGCAAAGACTTTGCAATCTAGAGAGCAGAAAATATCAGGAAAATATCTTCTAACTGAACAAGAAGACATGCAGCTTCAACTCAGGACCACCAGTAAAGTGTTAAAGTTGGCTCCCCTTCCCCTTCACCTCAATGCTCCTTTTCAGCATGAAGAAGTCAGAGAGTCTGTACCCCATCCCCAAATGAGACACCCACAAGCGAATAAAATTTTTTTTGTTAAAAAAATTTATTACCATTGGACTATGCTCACTATTACCCTGTCTTTTTTTGGTCCCCACTGGACCTTTCTCATTTCCTTCACCCACTCCCTCCACCCACCAAATTGTACAGCCCTGTGATTTCATCCCAACCAGCCTCATTCTTCTGCCCCTAAACCTTACCCATTGGATTCCCATATATGTTTTTTACAATAAAAACAAATGAAAACAACAGAGAGCCTATTAAGTATTTGCTCTTTGCTTAGTTTAGGTTCATTCATTTAGAAGCCTTTATTGAATCCGTATTTAATACATAAAGGCATGGGTTGAGCCCTCAGGACATTTATAACTTTATTTGTTGTTAGCTGCTAGTCTGTCTACAAAGCCTCATCAAGAGCCCAGGATGAAACTGCCTGGTTCTGGGCATCTCCATGATCAGTTAAAGATCAGATTGTTATGATTTATAGGGTTGTCATTGGCTGATTTACAGAAGTAGATCTCCAGGCCTCTCAGTCTGTATTAGTCTCAAAGGTCTCCTGAGATCTGTTCAACATCATTCTCCTGACAATTGTTGGCTATGCAGGTGGGGCATAGGCTGGGAATGAAACCCAAGTATCCCAGGTTGTTGTTGCTGTTGTTTGCCTTTGAGTCAAGCACAACTCATAGTGACCCTATGAATAAAAGGCCTGAAGCTCCTCGATACTTACTTAATGAAAATCTATGAACTTTGATATGTATAGCATGTGGGAGATGAGAATTCTACCACTAAGTCACCCACCAATGCCTCAGGAAACGTCATTGTTTCTTCCTTCAAAGTGCACTCTCAGTACATGATAGAGGGAGAAATAGTATGTGGCAAGGATAGACATTTGAAGAGACATACTTATTAAGTTTCTATACATCACAAAGTTTATAAAGGAGACAAAGTAAGACAAGGATGCACAGTATAGATGGCCTACAAATTCCTATACAGTTATAGGTGCAGCATACTATTAACTTACACAGCAAGCTATTTTAAAACAATTTGCAAAGTTTTAAAGATGTCAAACTATCTTTTCTAATTAGTATAGTACAAAACACTAATAATGACACATATATTTCTACTGGTGACAACAGGCAAATAAGTTAGAAGAAAATGCTTCTTGACTTTGATAAAATTTATGAAGAGACCCTCTAGATTTCTGGGTAAGAAGGGTAACTTGCAATGCCACAGTGATTTCCACTATTTCTTGCCATTCGAATGTATCCTTGGTCACCAAAGTGGAGGCCCCAGCTTTAAAAAAAAAAAAGACAAGACAGAATTATGGATTAATAAAATCACATCATATTATCATTTATTCTTTATATTGTTTTTGGTCCAAAGTCTATATGGTGGTGGGTGGGAGAAATGGAATGAATAATGAATTCTTCCAGGAAATTTTAGGCCACACTAAAGGACAGTTTGGGAAGAGTATTTTTTTGTGTGTGATACTAAAGAGTAGACTACAAAAACAATATAAGGCCCATTGTAATCTTTTCCTTCTCTTGCTTTGTGAATATGCTTTCTGCAGGAAAGTGGGAAGAACTCTGGAAGTTTAGAACCAAGCTGCACTGCTAACCAAAGGCAGCCCCATCTCAGGTGGTTCAAATCCGCCAATGGCTCCTCAGGATGGAGATGTGACCTTTCCTCCTCCTCTTCCAGTAAAGATTTACAGCCTCGGAAACCCAATGGCGGGTTGTCATGAGTCAGAATCAACTTTATGACAGTGACTTTGGATTTTTTTATGGAAAATAATATCCTTATACTTTACAAGACTCATCTCAAATAGTTTTTCATAAATAGAATCTTTTTTTCCCCCATCAAACTTAAATACCTTTCAAGAACATCAGTTAAATTTTTGGACAACCATTATAGAAAAGGGATAGATGAAGCAATTAATTCTAAGATAAGTAATACAAAGTGCAGTTCTCAAACAATTTCATATATGTACAAGTGAAGCTGAGACTTTATCATCATCATTATAGCAATTTAAAAACAATCAATGAAATATGTTACCTTGTAAGGAAGTGTATTCCCTGGCACTAGAAATACTCAAAGAGAAGTTAGCTGTGTCACTTGTCAAGAGCTGTTGCAGAGACACTCATGGGTCAGATAAGACAATAATTCATTACTGTTAAGGCAAAACCAACTCATAACTGACCCTCCAGTGGGGCTTGGGGAGGCTCTAAATTGAGGGGGAGGAGATTGTGGAGGGGCTGCTGGTAGATCTGAAGCACTTGCGAGGCACCCAAAAGTAGTGCAGCTCCCTATGGACCACATCAATAGCTCCTCCACGGAGTAAGAGAAGAGAGCAAATAGTAGTTCTCTTGTTATTTAATTTCACAGACTTTAGAGAATTTTACATCTTGACAAGGAGTCAGCAATTTTTTTATTAAACATCCACTCCAAGAAACACCACTGCCACTGAGATGATGCCAACTCCTAATGGCCCTTCATTAGGTTTCTGAGGCTGTAAATATTGATAGGAGACTGCCCATCTTTCTCCTGAGAAACAGCTGATAAATGAAAAACACCTCTAAAGTATTATCCTTTACACTTTCATAAGTATTATTTTTTATGATTTTTTTTAAATTTTTCTTTCTTTTCTTTTTATGTGTGTACCGTCAAATTGGATCTGACTGGTACAGAAGGCGATTGTTCCTCCTTCTTCAGCAGAGCATTTGATGGATTTGAAGTGGGTACCTCTGGGATTGCAGTGCAGCTTCTTGCCACTAGGCCACCAGAGCTCGCCAAGTATTAATTTTTTAAAAAATATGACACTTTTGTTTTTGTGAAAGAAAACATTTTAACATTTTAAAAAATCAAAGGACATAATATCTCTGAATAGTTATTTCAGTAGAAAAAATTTTGATTTGTGAAAACTTGCCACAGGTTTTAGTTTTCCTCATTTTGCCACAGGTTATTGAAAAAACAGACAAAATCCTTGTAGGAGAAAGATTTTCTGAAGTTTGTTATGACTCTGAGACTAAGTAATTATAAGTATTCAAATAACTGTAATATAAGTCAGAAAGCTATAGTTAAATGCTGTAACTAGGAAACAAATGGTTTAGGAAAAGAAGTCATGGGGACCAGCCAGAGTTAACAGTATATACAGATATTTAACAACTGATGAAGAGCACTGTTAATGAAGGGAGAACATAAATAAAAGTATAATATTTACAAAATGGCTAGTGTGTTAAAGAGAAAGAAGAGATTTAATGGAAAGGAAAATTGGATGTCTGTAGGGAAGCAGCGGGAAAGAGGATTGGAATAGTAACTTTGAGCCATGTTGTAAAAAGCGGGGGAAACAGGATAAAATGTTTGTATTTCAATTTTATGGGCAAAGAGAGACCACTAACATTTTTTTTGCTCAAGACTCAAAGGAAGGTGTGTTTTTGCTTGCAATGGAGAAACTAAGAAGTGCTGGATTACTATAGGAAGACACATTTAGTAGGGCAGTAAGCAATCAATGTTGGAGAGGATGGGGAGAGGTGGGACTGTAAAATGGTACAACCACTCTGGAATAAAGTTTGGCATTTCCTCAATAAGTTGACCATAGAATCTCCATATGACCCAGCTATTCCACTGGGAGGAATATACCCCCAGGAAATTAGAACTGGGACACAAACAGAGATTTATACACCAATGCTCATAGCAGCAATTATTCACCACTGCAAGAACATCGAAACAGCCCAAATATCCAACCACATCCAAATGAACTGAGAAATTGTGTTATGTTCACACAATAGAATATTTTGCAGCACAAAGGAGCAACAATTTCAAAAAATACTACATACCTTGGGAGAGGCTGGAGAGCATTATGTTGAATGAACTAACTCAGTCTCACAAGGACAGATACCGCATAAGATAATTATTGTAAAAATAGAAGGCTAACTAGTAAAACACATATGGGCATTCAAGGTGGGGGAGGGCTGAGAAAGGGTAGGGGTGAAATCACGGGGTTGCACATTTTGGGGGTAGAGGGGGGAAGAAAATGGGAAGGATCTGGGCAAAAAAAGGGTAATGATGGGCAAGGTCCAATGGTGATTAATTTTATAAACCATAATGCATAAGAATGATCATATGAAAGTGTGAATGAAGAATAGTGTGAAACATAGTGTATACAAAATTTGCAAGCAAACCAATTTTTTAAAAAAGAGGCCATAATGTTTTGATAATCAACTACTCTGCACTATTCAATTTTTTTATTTTTACATTTTTTGTCACTATTTCATCTAGCACAGTTGTCTAGTCTCATCTTATTTCTCTCCTAACTTTATGTGTGACGGTACCCTGATTTCTCATTCTTTTGGACTTAAACTCATGCAATTTTTTTCTCTTTTTTTCATTCAATTGACATTCCTTGTTTAAAAGTCTTTTGTAGCTCTTCTTAACTTTAAAATAAAATTTCAGTTTTCCTCCTTACCTATAGATGTAGTGTGCTTTTAGTTTCTAGTTTGATAAACAATAGCAATCACACACTCTGGCTAAGCAATTATTATTTAATTGATAAATATTTTCTTTTCTTTTCTTCCACTACTTTCTTTTTATTAAAAAATTATTTTAGTAAGATTTTATAAATAATATTAGCTTTTCCTCAGTAATTTATATTTTGTTTTATAACAATACTGATAATTGGCTAACATAATTTATTATAATGTCTCCTCAAATCCTTATAGAATATTGCCTTTCCCTTCACCCAACTTACCAATTTTTTCTCACCTCACCCTTCCTTCTTATCCCTATTAATCTTCTAAGATTGATTCTCTGTCAATCTTTCCTTTTCTTATTAATGGTTTTATAAAAAATTATAGATAACTTTGAGAAGAATGGTAATCCCAGAACATTTAATTTTGCTTCTACGAGACCTGGAAAGGTGTACGCCAGGGATGTGTCCTATCTCCATACCTTTTCAACCTGTATGCAGAGCAGATTATCCAAGAGGCTGGGCTCTATGAGAAGTGTG